GGCACCTCCACGCCCTAAGGATTCCTGGTATAGGAGGGAACGTTTATCAATCCTGACTGACTCTATTCATGAAAGACCCACCCTAAACTGTTCGGGGAAGAATTGAGAACAAGAGAGTGCTCCAGAGGGATAAGTTTGGGCGGGTCGGGGTGGAGGGGGTCCAGATGGGGACCCGTGTGTGTAACCTGATAATCGCTTCGCGCCATAGCAATTCGCGCCATAAAATGTAACTGTTTAAATGTTTTAAATTAGCCAATCATGTAAGACCGCGCCAACCTTTTCCCGCTTTATGCTTCCGAATCCTATAAAAGAGCTTGCCCTTTAAGGTTCGGGGTCGACTCCTCTGTCTCCTGCGAGAGATATGTGTCGACCCAGAGCTCCGCTTAATAAACCTCTTACCTCTTGCGTTTACATCAAGCTCGGTCTTCTGTGTCTGTGGGTCCGCGCCTTCCCAAGGCTAAAATTAGAGTTCCCTTTTTGAGATCCTACAATAGCAGTGATATTGTCCCCATTTTCCAGAGGAGGTGTCAAAACCAAGGCTGCCCTGCCGGGGCCCCGTCCTCTTCTCTTCCATCAGCATCTGCCAGGCGCCTCCCCTGGGCCCTCCCTGCCCTCCCTCCTCCCAGAGCTCACGGGGCTGTGCGGGCTCCATGCTGCGGGGGGCAGACTCCTGACAGGGCCGCGGGAGAGCAGGGCGGCGCTTCTGGGGGCTCAGCCTCAGGAGAGAGGAGCAGGCCACCAGCTGGAGGAGGGAGAAAAGGGGCCGGGGAGGCCGGAGGGGGGACAGCGGGAAGGGACGAGAGAGGACCATGGTTAGGGCCACACTCTGAGGCGTGTCTGCCAGGCCGGGAGTTTGGGGGTCAACCCTGAAGGTGAGGGGCACATGGGCCCTCCTGGCGGCTGTGGCCTCTGGGCCTCTTTAGCCTCCTGCCCCATCACTTGGAACCAAGGCCCAGAGAGGAGGCAGCTCAGCAGCCCCCAGCCTTCGTAGCCTTCACCCAGGCTGACCCCACCCCCACCGTGTGTCCACTGGGCAGGAGGAGGCACAGGTGGCCCGTGGGGCGATCGCTGAGGGACCCCAGGGTAGAGTGGTCAGTGGACGAGGCTTCCGGGGCCCAGCTCTGTGCCCTAAGCAAAGAGCCCAGCCTCTCTGGGGCTCAGTTCAGCCCCAGTGAAGTGGGCTGTGGGGCAAGCGTGTGGAACCTTCAGGAGAAGCCGGCCCAGGGCCCTCAGTGAGGAGCCGTCCAGGACTCTTGGATGGACCCTTCTCTTGGTCTCCTTTCACCTCCATCTGTTTCCTGATTGGTGGGTCCTGGCCCTGGACACCAAGATGGGCAGACAGCCCTCCCCTCCCCCCAGGTCCAGTGGTGACAGCTGGCCCAGTGACATTGTCCTGTCCAGGGAAGCACCTCCACAGGGAACACCCCTGCCCAGTCTCGCAGACCCAGGGATGCTGAGGCAGCAGCAAAGGGCCTGTTGAGAATCTCCTTTGAAGACAAGCCCGGGATCACGGGGGCAGCACTGTTGTTGCCAGGGGAGGTCCTGGCGGCTCTGCCTTGAGGTTCAGGTGACAGGAACATCTCCGGCCGCCCCTCTCAGGCGTGCTTCTCTGAGGAACTGGGCACAGAAACGGGCCCTGGGGGGAGGAGGCAGAGGAGGAGGCAGGAGAGGCCTGGGCCTTCCCACCATGCCCTGGCTCCCCTGTTCCATCTGCTAGGCGGTGGGAGGGCGTGCACAGTGGTTTCTCAGGGCCTTCCAGCTGCTGCTCCGTGGACCAACAGGTACTGTGTTTCCAGAGGCAGGCCTCTGGGTGACAAGTCCCCGTCCAGCCCCCAGGGTGCGTTTCCCTGACCACAGCACAGATCCAGGTATCAGGACCCCTGGAGAGGTGGGCAGGGCCTGAGCAGGCAGGATAGAGGGCAGCCTCAGGCCCCAAGCAGCAGACAGGCCCCAGCCTAGGGAGGGGCTGGGGAATCCCACCTGCCAAGTCCTGTCTCTGTCCCTGCTCCTGCTCCTGGCTGCCCTAGATCCCTGGGGGAGGGCAGCCACCCAGAGCTGGAAGCTGGCCCTGGGTCACCGCCCTCTCCCCTCCTATAGGCGGATGAAGCATCTGACCAACACTGCCCCGGCCTGGTAACCAGCCCACTGGCGCTTGGCTCCCAAGGAACATTCAGAAGGTCAGCCCGCCTTTCCTTCATCTTCTGGCAAGGGGGCAGCCCAGGGCCATCCTCCCCCGGGCACACATTCCATTTGCTGAGCCCCAGTCCCCACCACCCTGGTCTCTGGTCAGGGAGAGGCCTCGTTTGGGGTCGTGTTTTTGTATAGGAGCCCCAGGCAGGGCTAGCAAGACTTGGTCAATAAAAGGCAACAGGTCGTGTTCCATTTCTTCCAAGCGGTGGCATAAAAATAAGGACGAGGGAGACCAAGGTGTGGAGCCTGGATGGGGGTGGTGTGTGGCGAAGGCTGGGGGGCCAGGCCTCTTGCCCTTCTCTGCCTCAGATCCCAGGTGGGCAGCTGGGGGTGACGGGGTTCCAGGACCCCACTCACAGCCACCCAAGGCCTGAGTCAGAGCACAGCCCTTGCTTTTCCTCGGGCCCTCCCGCTTCCCACCCCCGACCCGTGCTCCGCACATCCTTGCACAGAGGGAGAAATGAGGAGTGTGGTCCAGAGGCTCAGAGGGCAGGGGGCCCACCTGCCTTTCAGTGACAGCCCCACCCCCGCCCCCTTTGCTGCTTATGAAGCAGCCGCAGGCTCCCCTGCTGTCCCTGGGCTCCGCTGGGTCCAGGTAGGTAGTCAGGCCGCCCCCGGGCGGGATCATGGCTTCTCTGGCATCCCTTGCAGAGGCCCTGTCCTGTGTGGGCACTGCAGGGACGTCACCAGCCTGGATTCCAGCAGCTGCAGTAGCCAGACTCCGGCCCTTGGGCACGCAGGCTGGTGTCCATGTGCACGTCTCCCGCACCTTCCAGCAGCGTGCTCAGAACAGGTGGACTGGGGCCCATCTCCATTGCTGGCTGGTGCCGTGGCCCAGGCCAGCTCTCCCTCCCGGGCCGGTTGTGAGGAAAGGACACACGGGGAGCAGCACACCCAGCCCAGACCTGGCTGGGGGAGTGGTGGGGTGGAGTGGAGTGAAGGAAGCCCTGCTCTGGCCTCTCCCCAGATCTCTCTGATGAGCTTGCCGCCTCTCTGCATCCTCATCCTCCCCACTCCACAGGAGGGACGTGGGATCCATGAGGGCCGCACCTGTGGGTCTCCTCACTTAGCCAAGCACGACTTGGTGAACTGGGCGCACAGCTGCAGTCTTACTGAATGTAACGGGCCCAGACCCCCGGCACGGAGCTGGCGCTACCCTCAGTTGCTGGCAGGCCCTTCCGTGCCAGGGCAGGACTCAGGGTCACTACTGCTCTGCTCCCTGGGAGCAGGTCAGGGGCCCTGTGACTCCTGGCTCCCAGCCCGAGCCCCACGCTGGGCAGGGCCAAGCTCTGAGTAGGGACTGGGGATCCTGGTTGCCAGGATGTAGGGGGAGATGGGCCTGGCCCTCTGGGCTGGGAGCTCCTGGGAGCACATTCTAGGCTGTGACAGCTCCTCAAACCCTTGCGCTTTGTCCAGGAGTGGAACTTGCTGGAACCTCACAGCAAGGGGACAGCTGGGCTTCACTGGAAGGCCCTGAACAAAGATATGATTCCAGACCCAGGCCCGGCTGACCAAGGAAATTGGTGGGTTCCATTGCTGAGGTGTGTGCTCAGTCCATGGGGCAGGGGACAGTCCTGGGCCCCCACAGCTGGCCGGACAGAATGAAATCAGCCTGCCTGAACCCTGCTGGGCAGGCTGGCCCACCTGCGGGGAGAGGCCTGGGGCAGGGCCAGGGCACCAGGCCCAGGGGCTGGGCCCCCACTTCAGACACGGCTGGCCCACACCACTGCAGAGCCCACTGCTGCTCCACAAGGTTTCACTCCAAAATCAAGGTCAGACTCTATGGCCAATACTTTTGTCACCCGTGAACATGACACATGACTGGAGGAGCCCCGTGCTGCTGACCATCCAGGGATAAACCATAACTTGGACAGGTCTGGGACAAGGAGGAGAGCTGGCCAGGTCGTCTGATGCCCACTTTACAGAAAAGAACAGTGAGCTGTGTGGTCGGATAAGGCTCCCATAGTCCTCAGCTAAACATGGCAGGGACAGAACTTCCCAGAGGTCTCTGCTCAGCCAGTCACAGGACTCTGCGGAGGGAAAACTTCTAAAGGCTTTGGGGTCACAGCAAGGGCAGAGGACCCAGTCCTGGCCCTCCTCTGCACCTGACCTCACGGGGCCTTGGCCAAGTCTACTAGCTGCTCAGCTGAAAATGGGACAAACGTCCACTTGTCCGTGGCTGGTGAGGGACAGGAGGGGCCAAGTGAGGCATTGGCCTGAGGGCATCACAGACAGGAGCCCTGTAGATGGGGCTCAGCACAACCAGGACAGCCCAGTCCCAGCCCTCACCACCCAGATCTGGTCAGCCCCTCGCTGACTGGCAGGGAGCAGAGGCCCAGCACAGGTGAGTTTGCCCAAGCCCCATCAAGGCACCAGCAGGGCTGAGATGAGAACTCCCCGTCTGCCCTCTGTGAGCTCAAAGCTCTGCTGGGCAACCATGGGCAAGTTCTTCACCCTCTCTGGGCCTCCTATCCTTCCACCTACAATTGGTCTGAGATGGTAGGCCAGGCTTGGCAGGAGTAGAGCTGTGCCCTGGGCCAGCCCCACCCCAAGGGCAGAGGGTGGGCAGGGCAGGACCAGGCTTGGTGGCCCTGGGTCAAGGCCAGCAGCCCCTGCCCAGCATGGAAGGGGGTGGCCGGCCGAGGCAGGGGAGCAGTGCTGTGGGCGAAGAGGCTGCAGGTCATTCTGTTTATTCGGGTGGGCCCTGGGCACAGGCCCAGCCTCCAGAACAGACTGCTCTGCTGCAAGCAGGGGTGAGAGGTGGGATGGAGGCCGGCCAGAGGCTGGGACACGGGCTCCTGGGGCTGGCCCTGCCCTGGATGGGGTCACTGCTGCAGGGGTCCCAGCTGCTCCTCGGGGAGGGGCAGGTAATTGGGGTCCTCCTCTGGGGCGTCCAGTAGCAGCTTTCTGTGGGGAGGGGCCCACGCTGAGCTGAGGCCAGCTGGGTCCTCCACAGGACGGGGAGCCAGCTGAGGGAGTGTAGGGGGAGGGCTGTCATCCCCATACTCACAGGAACCTGGGGGTCAGCAGCAGCCTCTTGCCTCCAGGCTGGTTGGGGAAGACATCCTCCAGGAAGTAGGAGATGTGGCCCACAGCAATCCCTGGGGAGAGCCGAGGAATGCCGAGGCCACCCTCCACAGTCCAGAGCCCGGGGCCAGCAGAGCCTGCGCCAGGCAACCATGAACAGCCCTGGAGGCCCAGCCAGGCCCAGAGTAATCTCAGGCCCCAGAGCCCAGGTGCCCGGTGTCCTGTACACACTGCCAGCCCAGGGCAGGCCGGGGTGGGCCCTGGAGGACAGGCTTACAGGGCCCAGAAGTGGGCAGGACTTGGGGAGGGTAGGGCCTGAGGACATCCAAGGAGCAGGAGCCATGGCGGGAACCCTGACCCACCCATCCCCACCCCGGTCAGGACCCACACAATCACCAGCAGGTCAGGCCTGAAGATGTGAAGCCTACAGGCTGGCTGGCTTGTTCAAGGGGCTGTAAGAAGAGAGACGCTGGGAGGGCAGGAAGAGGGGAGGGGGACAGATGAGAGGTGCAGTGCGGGCGGGAGGCAGGGCTGTGGTGGAGCAGCCAGTCTGGGGTGGCCTCCCACAGACCCTCAGGTGATAGCCAGCCAGCTTGGGGTGGGCTGGATGGACGGGCAGGCTCACCCAGTAGGTCCACGAGGATGGAGTTGCCCAGCAGCAGGGAGAAGCCCACGAGTGCCCAGGACAGGAATAGCGCCTGGAAGGTGAGGAGCCGGAAGAAGTTGACCCTCACTCGAGGGCTGCGGCGGCTCCAGACGTACACCAGCATGGCTGTGAGGGCCTGGCCCAGGAAGAACAGGCTGCCCAGCAGCCCCAGCTGCTGGGCCCGAGTTAAGGTGCTGGGAGGCCCTCCCTGGTGCCGGCCTCAGCCCTGCCCGGGGCCCCTCTGACTCCTCCACCCCTGCCATCCTCCACTGGTTTCCCTTCCCCCATCCAGTGTGCCCTTCCAGTCAGGCCCCCCGGGGATTCTGCCCTGCCTCTCCACCTCACCCCAGCCTCCAACCACTGCTCGTCCCTTCCCCACGTTCTCCTGCTCCTGGCATCGGGGTTCAGCCCCCAGGCACCCCACCTGGCTCTCCTGCATCCCCCTGTGGTACTCTGTGCCCAGCACTGAGGGTCTAGCCCTGGCACCTGGACTCAGGACACGCTGCAGGCTCAGTGCCTCCTAAGCTGGAGTGACTGACTCCGTCCCTCCCCGGCTGGGCGCTCAGTCGGGCCCCACGGCAACACAGTCTGGACCCACAGGCGCCCGGCCTGAGATGGCAGAGCCCTGAAGGATACGGTCATGAGGACGCCCCCGAAGAGAAACGTGAAGACGAAGTCGGCCTTGCGGCCGCGGAAAGACCCCTCCTCCAGCATGCGGCAGTAGCGGAACCTGGGCGCCCGTATAGGAAGGGCCACCGGGCCGGGCCTCAGTTTCCCCGCTCCTGGCGCCTCCCGCCGGGCCGCCTGCCCCCTCCGCGCCCCCGCCCTGTCCGCGCGGGGAGGATACACGAAGAGCATGTGGAAGAAGAAGCTGAATCCCAGGGGCCAGAAGAAGAGGAAGTTGGTGACGAGCCTCCAGACCTGCGAGGGGCGCGCGGTCAGGCGGGGGCGGGCGAGGCGGGGCGGCAGGTGCAGGGGCGGGGCGGCCTCACCTGGAACTTCCGGAGCACGAGGTGCGGGTTGAAGTAGAGCTGGAAGGGGCTGAGGAGCTCCAGCTGCTGCGGAACCAGAGGGGCGTCAGGGGCTGCCCGGGATCCAGCGTAACCATGGCGACCCCCATCCAGGGCTGTAACCACGGCGACCCCCGCCCCGGGTTGTAAAGATGGCGATCCCCCCGCCCCAGTCGTAACCACGAAGACCCTCCCGCCTCTGGCTGTAACCATAGCGACGACCAGCACACGCGCCCCGCTCACCATGGCGGCGGTGGTGGGCATGCAGGCCGCGGTGTAGGCCCGCGTCACCGCCGGCACCTGCAGGAAGTCGGCCACCAGACCCCCCCACGCCATTGACCCTTCCCAGACCTACGTGGTCCGACCGCCAGCGCGCTCTTTAACCGGACTCCGAGCCCCGCCTGCCGGCCTTCGGCCAATCTCTGTCCGAGAGTCGGTATAGTGGGCGTGGCCCTGGACCAGGTAACCAATAGGAGGAGGAGGCCGGGAGCCAGGGGCGGGACGGGGCATGGGCGGGTCAGGACTCGGGCCAATGAGCTGGCCCCGCGGTTGAGCACCTGTCAGTTGTTGTGGGGGCTGTGGCAGCGCGCGCCATGGGGGCGTGGCTGAGAGTACTGGTTGTGGAGAGAGTGGCCCACCGATCCGCGATGGGAAGGGGCGGGGCCACACGGAGGTGTAGTCGGGGCGGGCAGGACGGAGAGTCTGGCCAGGCGGCTCTGTTGTCTCCCTGGGGCTGCGGGCAACCAGGGCCAGTCCTTCTTCCCTCTGAGAACTGGAGACGGTGCCACCTGACCTACGCAAATAAGGCGCTCAGCTGCCTGTCCCAATCCCTGGCACGTCCAGGTCCGCGCTGGAACATGCGGCTCCAGTGGGAGTCTTCCTGGGGCCTGGAGGAGGGGCCGGGCTGGGGGGTTGACCCCACCCTGGGGGGACGCGAGGGTGCGGCTGGAGAGGCATCATTATTTTGGTGGAAAGAGAAGCTACTTTTATTCATTCTAATCAACAGTTTGTTGGCAATCGACTGTGTGCAGCCACCGTTCTAGATGCTGGAGACAGAGCAACCAACAGAGACGCTGTCCCTCATGCTGGAGCCGAGGAGACAGGCAGTCACAGGCCTGTGCTAACATGAGAGCTAGTGTAGACAGGACAGTGCGCTGACGGAATTAACAGCCACGTGATGGGTGGAGGATCTGGTCGTGGGCCCCATACCAGATGGCAGATCTGGGAAGCCTCTGTGAATAGGTGATGCTTGATTGTCACTTGAAAAAGATCCCTGTGGCTGCTGTGAGGACAGCAGACAGCCAGAGGAATCAGTGAGCAGGGGGAGGCCGCAAGGGGCATTGGTGGCTTGGGCAGCATGGAGCCTGGAGGGTGAGGAAGGGTGGGATGTGGGTTTGCTGTCCCACTGGACAAAGCTGTAAGGGAGGAGTCAAGGATGACTTCAAGGCCTGAGCCACAGAGCGGAGAGAAGGCAGAGGCCATTACTGAATGGAGAACGCTTGGAGAAAAGGCGGGCGGATGGAGAGCTCTGTTCTGGCATCACTGAGTTCGGAGCGTCTGTATGACCTCTGTCTGGAAAAATCCAAGAGTGGTGCAGGGGTAGAGGTCAGGCAGGCTGTCGAGATGTGGGTGTCAGTCATCAGTAGACCAGTGGCCTTTGTAGCCTTGGGCCTGAGTGAGATGCCCAAGGGGCGAGGCTAGATGGAGAAGAGGCCAGGCCTGGGCAGTCCACCTTCATCGGTCAGAGAGGGAAGGTAGACCCCTCCCCAGGGGGGCCTGGGGAGGCTGGGGTAGGGTGGGAGCTGAGCAGGAAAGGGCTCAGGAGGAGGGCAGGGAGAAGCCTCGGGGGATGTGGCCTGGGAAGGCCCGTGGGTGCAGCCCTGCCGAGGTCCCGGTGACCAGGACAATGGCGGGCACGAGGGAGAGGAAGGGACCAGACGGACATGCCTTCACCAACGTGGGAGCTCAGCCTTGGATGTGAGCGTGGACAATGAGGGATGCACTGGACCGGGCCCTGAGGCCCCCTGAGGAGACAGAATGGGGGAGACTAGGTGAGAAAGTTATCTCAGGGGGATCCCAAGGAATGAGGGACCCAGGAGGGCGCTGAGAGGGGTCTCTTGGGAGTGGCTCACGGAGCCCCTGTTCTGGAGGGCAGCGGAGGGAGGGCGAGGCTGGGAGCACTGAAGGGATATGCATGTGGTTCAGGGGTGAGGAGAGGTCAGCAGAAGCTGGTTCAGGGTGCTGAGAGAGGGGCGGTGGGAGCAAGCTGAGGGACCCCCTTGGACAGCCTCTGTTTTCCAGGGAAGCAGGCCAAGGTCACGTCTGAGGTGGGCTGTGCAGAGTAGATCCCAGCAGGGTAGACTGTGGCAGCAGGGCGGGATCCAGGGCTCAGGTCAGGGCAGGGAGGAGCCAGCAGGGAGGCTGGGTTCCTGTCAGCTGGGGAAGGGCAGGTGTTCCTGCCTCCAGGCACTGAGCAGGCGCTGGCTGGCCCTCCACTCAGGGTCAGGCCAGGGCTAGCTCGGGGCAGGGGGAGGGGGTGTCATGGTCCACAGGGAACTCTGTCTCCCCTTCCACTGGGGCCCATAAGGCAGGTGCCCGGCTGGGGGAGAAGCACATTCCTGGGAGGCTGGGAGCCCAGGGTGGGGCGGCCAGTTGGGCGGGATGTCCAGGGGAGCAATGGCTGGATTCTACTACACATACTCCCTTCTCCGAGCCCCAGGATCCTCATATGGGGAAACTGAGGCCCAGGAGGAGGCAGAGCAGGGCCAGGGTGGACCTCCATCACCAGTCCAGGCTTTTCCTTCCAGTCTCAGGCCCAGGACAGGCCACTCGGGAGACACCTGGTCCACTTCTCCTCTGACCCTTGGGCACCTCCAGACAGTTCTTTATGGAGAGAAGCCCTGAGCATCACACGTTCCGGGGCCTAGAGACGCAGGCAGGCCATGTGCTGGACGCTCACGTCTATTGAGCTGTCTGTCCTAAGCAGCAGGTGGCTGTCCTGCTGGCTGGGCCCACCTTCTCTCTCCTGTGCTGAGGACTGTCGTCCCTTGGCAGGGTGACATGGGGCCAACTCCTCAAGCTGTTGCTCTGGCCTGGTGACCCTGCCTGCTGCAGAGCAAGGAGTCCCGGGATCCCCAGGTCTGGAGAAATGAGGGGACCCCTAAATCTCCCGTCCAGGCTCTCTCAGTGCCTATAGGCAGGACAGCACCCCCTGCGTGCCCCCAAGCTTGCCTTCCTCCTCGCAGGCCTCACACACCAGGCCCTGGGGACCATCCAGACACCTGGGGTCAAGCCTGCACTGCCTCTCCGCAGCCCCACATAGAACCTGATGCTCCCACGGAACTCTCCAGTCCTTTCCTCCCCTCCAGCACGCCTCACCACCACCGCCACCTCTTTTTCAGGACTCGGACTCTGTCTCCTGGGGATGCCCCAGATCTCTGGCTCATTCATCCACTCATTTTCTCCTTACCAGGCTAGATGTTCTGTTAAAGAGGAGAGGAAGGGAGGGTGGTGGAAATGCCCCCTACTCCAGGAAGCCCTCCCTGCGGGGACCAGAGCTCACCTATCTTCCGTTAGGGCCCCACGCACTCAATTTCTAAGTGCATCTTATTCCAAAGGCTACACATGCCTGTGGTGATGAACTGAAAGACTCAGACACAGGTGAGTGAGTGTGCGTGTGGGAGGCAGCTGTGTTTTCCTTTGACAACACATGGCGCCCCATGCAGGCCCTGAGCATCCTCCATGGGGGACCTTTTCTTAGGGTCTGAGAGCTCAGTGCACACCCCCTTCCAGTATATGAACCCCCCAACTGCAGTGGGTGGGCCTCCACCACAGCTCCAGCCAGCCCCTCCCAGGAGCAGCTGTGTCCCCTTGGCCCTTCCTGTCTGGGTCACGGTGGGACTGGCCCCCTGAGTCTGGTAGCAGAACCCGGACTTTCCAGGAATGAGCGGGTCTCTGAGTGGGATGGGGAGGAAGGAGGCATGGCAGGGCCAAGGATGAGTAGGCATCAGCTGGGCCCCAAGGCAACAGCCTGTGCAAAGGTCCTGAGGTGGCACAGAGGGACAGAGAGCAGATGGGGGCAAGAAGGAGGAGTTGTGTGCAATGTGAGGCTGGAGAGGGCTGGGCCAGGCCGAGCAGGGCCGTTTGGGCTGTGGCCTCTGTCCCAAGGGCAGTGGGAGCCATGGGAGAGTTTCCAGCATGGGGGTGAGGTTAGGATCAGATGGTGGCTCTTTGAACGAAGAAGGGACAAGAGCCGAAGCCATGGGCAGAGCAGAGGAGGATGGCAGCCGCCTACGGTGACGGGCATGTGACAGCGAGGGAGCGGATGGGTGAAGGAGGTGGGAGCCGCAGGCCTTAGTGAGCGCTTGGCAGAGGGGCGAGACCCGGGGGAGGGCCAGGTTTGGGAGGGAGACCATCCATTGGTTTGGGACAGGCTGAATTTGGGGTGCTGTGGGGACATGACTGCCTGAGGGAAGCCCTCGCTGGTACTCCAGCCAGGCCCTCCCAGCTCCTTGTCCTCTGGGGCTCTGGTCCTGCCCGCAGAAGGGCTGCCCCAGGCTCTCTCTATCCCTGGGATGTGCTGTCTGCTGGGCACAGGCAGGCCTCGGACCTGGACTCCAGGGCTGGGTCTGCAGCTCAGGGCCAGCAGTGGACCTGGCCACTAACCACCCCCTTCTTCCTCGGCCTCAGTGTCCCTGTCTGTGAGATGGGCCGGTTGGAAGAGTCCACCTGTAGAGTCTCCTCCAGCTCGAGGGCTGTACTCTGTTCTATTGCGGGGATGTCAGAGATTCTGGGCAGGGGCCCCTTCCTGTGACAGTC